CTAGAGAGAAGGAGGAGAGCTCGGCGTCAGCCGGGCGATCCGACTGGTAAGTTACAATTCATTAAACTCTGATTGACGTTCCACCATTCAAATTCAGCAACATTGTACACTATCACGGTACTCCGCCACAGCCCTCTGGACGAGCGCCAACGAGAGATTGTGCCACGCGACCGTGATACGGTGTCTGAGTTCAGCCGAGTCGTTGTTTCTCGTTAGACACAATGTTTGAGCTCCGTCAAGCCCGGTGTATGGGCGGTTTAGGTCTAGGTATATTGAGATACTTGCGTCTTCACTATCAACGCCCTTCCATTCATTGTGCTGGCACCAATCTGTAGCAGTCAAGTTTCCGAGATGGTACGGGCAACGAAATAAAAGCAAGAGATTCTCCTCGAGTTGCTCGATGCAGCCGTCAGCGCTCACATCCGGGGTCTACGGAGAAAATATCGGTTTTCCCATCCAGAACTTGGTCATACTATTACCCCGCGCCCTAGCGACAGCGGTGAAGATGATATCCGGGACCGTAGCGACGTTGTCGGAGCTGTTCGACGTTGCAGGTCTTCCAACAGAGTGTGGGTTCAGGTAGCTGTCCAGGGGTGACTCCTACAAGGAGGTTCGTAGCCTGTTTGGATGACGTAAATTCCAAAGCCTTTTTAAATTCCATAAGCCTTTTTCAGTTTGGCTGCGATTGGAGATGACTTCATATATTGATGTACATGAAGGTGATGGACGAGAGCCTGCTCCTGCTCATCGAGGAACATCTTGGGTGTCTTCCGCCCCTGGTATTCGTATCCACGCCTTCTATCTGGGCTGTGTTAAACTTTACGGATATCTAACTCGGCCAGAAGCGTCTCTTTTTCATTGCCTCCCTCCCCTGTAGTTCCACAACATAAAAAGGCTTCAAGTATCTGGACAGTCCGCCAACCGTATAATAACGGATGCCACAATTATGGGGACACGAATCAGAGCACATCATGGTAGTGAAAAGCACAGTGACGATCAGTTTTGACCGCTGAAGGAGGTGGCTGCATTTCATTCAAAAAGCGTTTTTATCTAGTTATTATTCGTTCCCGTTCCACTCGTTTATTATTTACACTTCATACTATATCTGAGGTATGAGCAGAGCGTGGCTGCGTATTTCATTTATCAGGGCTGTTGTTGCCTGCAATGGATCAGTCCCCCGGAGAAATGCGTCCTGTGCCGCTTTGAAATGAAATACGCAGCCTCGCGCTTTCCAGATATGGACTGTACCTAGACTGGTGTGGCACCGAAATCGAAATACTTGGCAGCTGTTCGAAGAACGCCTCTTAGGCTGCGTTTATACTTTGCGGCAGCGTAGCGTAGCGTAGCGCAGCGTAGCGTAGCGCTTCCAGCGTACGCCAGCGGCAGTGCCGAAGAGAGGATGCATAACGCTGGTGAAACGCTGGAGAAACGCTGGCGTACGCTAGCGTACGCCAGCGTTTCTCCAGCGTTTCACCAGCGTTTTGCTAGCGCTTGCAGCGGCAGGGGAGTAGAGACTATGTGGCCGTGAGAGAAGCGGAATCGACGTGTATTGTAGAGACCATATGGCCGTCGGAGACGCAGAAGCGATGTGCATTGTAGAGACTATGTGGCGTCGGAGACGCAGAAGCAATGTGCATCGTAGAGACTATGGGGCCGTCGGAGACGCAGAAGCGATGTGCATTGTAGAGACTAAGGGCGAGTGGGAGACGCGCAATCGATGAGTTTTGTACCCTCCAGCTCTCCCATAGTCTCTACTCCCCTGCCGCTGCAAGCGCTAGCAAAACGCTGGTGAAACGCTGGAGAAACGCTGGCGTACGCTAGGTGCCGCTAGCGTACGCCAGCGTGCCGCTGGTGACGCTGGTGAAGCTAGATCGATATGCATCCTCTCTTCGGCACTGCCGCTGGCGTACGCTGGAAGCGCTACGCTACGCTACGCTACGCTGCCGCAAAGTATAAACGCAGCCTTACTTGCCGAGAGCTGGGTTTCAGGGGAAGCATGGTAAAAGCGTTGGGAATTGTAAGGTACTTGAGGGAATCTGAGCACCAATCTGACACTGCCATTTTTCGTAATAAAATGATGTACCATGACATGAATTCCAATCCAGTGTACAGTTGATAACGCCGCAGCCAGTCGGGGACGTTCCAAGAGGGTTATGTTAAGTCCAACCGCGGCGTCTTCACCACTGCGCTGTTAACTCAATCCCTATCCTGCCACCATTGGTAGATCAATCTAACCTGAAGCGGACTAATTCCGCCTTCCCGCTCTCGCCCGACTGATTGGCGACGTTAATCAGCCTGCACTTTATTTGCTTAATATGAGGCCCAGCTACGACACTGCAAATTCGCGTGTGAATGCTCATAGAAATAGCTTGCACTCAGGAAACAAGAGGTGGGAGACGATGAGAGAAATATGTGACCACGACTCTTTCGTATGCGCCATGCGCCGATTATTCCCATTTAATCACAGCTACACGTAGCTATTTGTATCGACATTTGCTGAGAATACATTTGGTATCGCAGTCATACATGGATTACTTTGAAAACATCAAGCAATTAATGGTCGTCCTTCCTTGTGCAACTTCCAGACCCCAAGCTAAGAGACTGTCCCACTCTCGCGACTGCCACAGCGAGCAGGAGCGAGCTACAGCTGCTGAAAGTTCTAGTTCTAACGCCCGTTCAGTTAGACCGTCCACTCGCTAGAGTCATCTGACAGACGGCCGCTCAATTGTTTCTTGTGGGCGGCGGATTTTGGACTGGCTCGGGAGCCACATAATAGTACTGCACCCTCTCGAAAGGAAAAACGCGTGAACAACGAGTGGTGCCATTTCTGGTGCAAAATCTCGACTGCCGCTAAGGATGCACGATACGAAAACTAAACTTCGCCTCGCACGCCTAGTTTTGGAAATTTCTTTTCGTCGAGAGTTTTCGCCCGTGATTTTTGTTGTTTTCCGTATTCTCTTTCTTTGCTTCGATGATACTATACTTACTAGAGATGCCGAAAACCGATTGTGAGCAGGGGTTACAGAGACCCAGAGCAGTGTGCTGTCTGGAAGCTCGTTTTGTTTTGTGGTGTTTTGAGAACTCTTCTTGTTTTCTTCTTTGGGAAATTACATATCAACCACTGTTTCATGATTGACTAGCCATCCATGACACGTTATCGCAGGAATTGTTTTAATGTTTTTAAGTGTATAAGGAGCACAGTCCCGCAGTCGCTAAGAGATTTCACTTTCACTACGCACATGCACTTTCCAGCGAAGTTGTAACTGAAAACCAGCCTATACCAGGTATAAATAGCCACAAACAACTAATACTTAGTGAAGTTATCAAGTTTTTTCATTCAAACGTGAGAACTGCGAAATGAGGAACGAGAACCGACCTTGCTGAAGTATTTTGTGCATTGTAGACTATCCCGAGCGATGTGTTATGCTGGCCGGAAACTTCTTGTCAGATTTTTCAACACAAAGGTACTTACTCATACGCGAGAGCTACTAATTCCACTCATCTTGTCTCTGCTTCTCTTGTTTTCCAATTATGCGACAAGGAATCCCGTTCCTCAACAGCCTCGAAGTCGTTTGTTTTCTAACACTTCGGTTTCAGCATGAGATCTGCCATAGGTCAACTCGAGCTGTATAAGGACGATGCCCACAGTCATTGGACAGTCTTCCACGACGCCAAGGCTCCAGCGGGAGTCTACAGCTTTGAAGACGAGTGAGGTCTTGATGTCCATGTGAACTCAGCTTGAGGAGGCTCGTAGATAGTAGGACTGTTCCCTTGGTGAATCCATGAATAGCTGGGAGACTCGAAGCGAATCGTCGATCAAACGGAACTTTTTGTCCGTTTGGTCTGCCTTCAACACGAATTTCTCTTCCTTTGCACACGTTTAGCCCAATATTTCTCCTTATCCTCATAGTTGCTTCCCGAACTAATCCCTTGCATCTGCATGGGAGAGATGACATCCGAAACATGCTCGAAAATAGGCAAATTTACGGTCTACACGCCTTGCATATTTCCGATTTGAATGCTTCCTCTATAAAAAGAAAAGGCAAATCTCAGAAAATGTTATTACATAGACTTATACCATCAACTTAACTTGACTTCACGGAGACCTCCAGTGCACTCTCATGTCACTGTGAGTACACTGGAAGTGACAAATATATAAAAAGTCAGATAGTGAATGAATATGAAATTTACTTGAAGGAATTTCGCTACCAGCTAGTAGTAGCTTTAATTCCTCCATATTTGTTGCGCTATGTAATCCCTAGTCCTAGAGGGTAACAAGCTTCTAGACAGATTGTTTTTTTAGGAAAGCGGTTTCATCAGCGATTCAACGCCTCTATGTCTTCATTATGATCATTGATTTCCGATTTGTCGTATAACTCTGGTCCGGATAACTTACTACTCGGCCTTATGCTACGCAGGCGCTAATAGTTGGGAAAATGGGCGGGAAACCGAGTGAAATGGTCAAAAAGCGCTGGCTGCAAGACACAGAAGCTTGCCGTTCTTATTGACTCAGAAGCATTTGGACGAGTTTTCCGTAAGGCATCTGCAGTATTACCTCGTACAATCCATGCAGCACTGCCACTCCATATTTCACTTGCCAAATGAAGCAATACGACCATCAGGTACCGGTCGTCCATTTGTGGGCGGGCGGGTGCGGTGGCTTCGGTCGGTATGTTGTAGATTGGTAGGGTCTTATGAGGGATACGTTCCTTCTGAAAAAAAGGCGCTACGCAGCGTCTCCTCAGGGTCGCGGGATTCCGTCCTCCAAGGAGTATCAATGCTACTCGTCCTAGGGATTTATCGTGCCAACTGCCTTTGAAGAGAAAAGTCTCAGAACGATCTAATAGGTAATATTATTTACGAGGCGTTTAGAATTATTAACTTCACCAAATGTAACCATTTTCCTGGGAAGTCAAGGTTAATTAATATTTTATTATCAATTGAGCCACAATATGGAATTTTCAAGTCAATATGAAGAAGGTATTCGTGGTTTGTGCAAGTCAAAATGGATCCTCAAACATCTGCTCCTCTTTCTTAGGTTCCTGTGAGCTTGCGGTGTTCTCTATTTCGCTCTGCTTCTCCTGCAAAGAGAAAATTGTTCGAATTTCTGTATAAGTCTCCCACTTCATTTTTCCACGGAAAACTGTCCGTGCGAGCGAAAAAGTATAGGGATAAATAAAACAGTGCAAAGAGTTAGCAACATACAATCTCACTTGCAATCTCATGATGCAGGCGCGTGTCAGTGTGGGGTTGGGGACAGTGATTGGCGTGGCGCCAGCCTGTTTTTTATACCAATTGTGGTCGCTTGTCAGCATTCTTAGTCGGTAGAGAACGGGCTGACGAAGCGCTAACCCCCTGACACGCCCCAGCATTCGCAGCGACCACGCTATGTATTATTGTATTGTACGCTGTTTATTCATTATGTGACCCGTCTGGTTTTTGCTGGAGATCTCCCGAGCAAAATGAAAACCGATATCTGACCAGTGCGTGGGTGGTGATGGAGATCGATGTAGGAATGGATGTTTGCTCCCTCTCCAGCATGTTTGGGTGTAGCTGTCCAGAGTATAACAACTGCATCCGATTCTTCGGTCGTCAAGGTCTTTGGGTCGATCAGGTCAGAAAGGTCAGCGAAATTCATTTTTGATCAAGAATTTTGTGAACTTTAAAAAAAATGAGCTTTCCATGAACCGCCATCGCCACACAATCAACGTTTCTAACTGAATATACACACAAACACAGTTTACCCTAAGCGCAAGAAATCTGTCGGTGTAAACGCAGGGAGAGTTTACTCTTTGCTGCTACATCTCGGGAGACTAAAAAAAATTGCTGGTTCCTTTCTTTAAAGGTCAGATTTTGATCGGAAGTTTTCTCCCCATATGATCGTGCTTCCAATATTAAGAGGGATATTTCCTTATCTGAACGTGGTCCTGGGGCAGAAAATGCAATTGAAAGCTGGTTTAGTTAGGCACGCACTTATGGGACGACACAATATCATCGAAATTGGTCCTCCTTTTCTCCTCGATAGAGATAATGTAGCCGGTAAAGAGGCGGAGAAGCGGTGTTATATGTACAGCACAAGGAATTCTTCGGTAGTGATTTCACAGCACCTGTATTCGTTTCTTTTTTCTTCTCCGATTCCTCCACATGTTGGTGAGGAGCAAGCGTTTTTTTGAACTTTGACGTTCGTGTTTTGTTGTCGCTCCACTCGAAAGGAGTCAGTCATTTGAGCAGCAATCACGCCGAAGAACCTGAAAAATCTCTTTAGAAATGACTTATACACTAGAAAGGACAATCGCGTAACTCAATCAGGGATAAATGTTATGAATAAAAATATGTGATTAGACTGATTCGGAAAACTTTTCTGAAAAAAGTCTGCTGAGAGGCACCAACGTGCGGTCACCCTTTACAGATAACCCAGTACAGTTCTATTGGCTACCGCTGTCGCTTGCATGAGATAGCAAGGTACTCGTATGGAAAAATCGCTTCGAGTTTGGAGGTCCCTGTGTGTAGTGTGTGTTCAACCAGTTTCCTCGATACGCTGAAAGGGCTACTCATGACGGAGAGTTAGAGAGGCGTGAGGAGTGGCGCAGTCAGCTGCTTCCTCTCGTCTGAGCCGTGGTGCGTCGAGAGAGAAAGGCTCCCTGGAGAGCGGGGTGCCCTTCAAAGCAACCTCGAAAGCTTACCACCTCACCTGACATTCACTGAAAATACTCGTGATCGCGCGGGGGAAGGTCCTCAAAATGGGGCGCATCGGGAACTGTAAGCCTCAAAATCAAAAGCGCACATCACAAGAATTCCTTATATAGTATTGAGAGCATTATTGCTGCCACCCTCGTACACCTTGGAATCGACGACCAGTCGTCTATTGAGCGGCCAACAAGGATACATAACAGATGAAAGCATAACTCAGCAAATCTTACAAGCTCTTTCTAATTCTAGCGCGCTAGAAACAAAAATGTTGAAGCGGGCTAAAACGGCTTTTGAGGGGATGACAGTGAAGACATAGGCAATCAGAAGAATGTAAGTTCTTACCTTTTCCACACATCCGTCACCTGTGCGGGAGTGTACGTTTGGGCGAAACGTACTTTCTTCTTTTCATTGTCTCCCTGGACGGGCATGACCTAAAAATTCATTTGAACTGCTCTGGATTGGGGTCCTTCGAGATCTCGATACCATCTTTGGCTTGCTTTGCAGTTTTTGTTTCACTGTGCCAAAGAGGTGTTAGGTGAACCATTAGTTAGTTGTGCTCTGACGTTTTGAATAGATCATCGTCCTCAGAGGCCCAAACATGGCTCAGGCTCAAGGTTTAGATACTAGACACTCTTCTTTTAGATACTCTACCCGCTGAGCGTCTCGACTCCCTAGAGCTTTGACAGGATGCCAGGAAAACTACCGTTAAATTCCCGAATGGGACACAAAAGAAGCGGAGTGGAGGGCGCATCATTTGAATCTCAAGTCATGTTTAGGCTTCTGAGGACGACGAGCTACTCGAAACGTCATGCCACATTGAAGGCACGGTCATGTTGAAAATATGGCGTCGGTGGGGTAGAGTGGTTTGCGGCGAACAAGTTACCGGTTTCGCGGCAAAAAATTGCAAGGGAGAGGAGCTACAGCAAATATAAGTTCAGTGACGCCTCCTTTTCTCCAGTGACTCCGCCTCCAGACTCCGCCTTCAAGGCCCACCTTTCAGACGAAAACGAAGCTGCAGGATGGAAAAGCATGAGAATCATCACATGTAAGGTCATAATAACCTTATCGGAAGGAATAGCTGAGCGGAAAAATAGGTGAACGGATAAGGGAATAGTGTTGGAGATGGACTTTTTGGGAACGTACAAACTAGGGTCAAAATGGAGTCTTAGGAAGGGCAGTTGGAATGTTTTTTTCGGTTTTTTTTTCTTGACGATCTACTTAATCAGAACCTTGTCGTCTGCAACCAGACCCCTAATCCACTATCTGTGATGACAAGTAATCGCGGGCATTGCCTCCAAACCTTGAGCCATGTTTAGGCCTCCGAGGACGACGAGCTAGTCGAAACGTCAGGCCGCATCAATAAAGAATTACTTAATATCCTTTTTGGCACAGTGAAAGAAAAAATGCAAAGTTCACAAGAACGCCGAGGTTAAACGAAGCTAGGCACCCTCTCTGACATGATTTTTGTTCAGCTACTGCAATTCTGAAAGGAACTAGAATACGTGCCACATCCAGATTGACCATAGAACAGGAATACGGTGACCACTCTGCGTTTTTACTTTCAATCGGGATGAACTCACCAGCCACCGAACTTCTTTTCAATCAAAATATGGAAGTTTTACTGACGAACCTTTTCTCCGGTGAGATATGGTATAAAATTTTCAATGAACGGAGTCATCACAACGTCAAAGTAATTCTTCTCAAACTGATTCTGATTCTGCTCGAGAAAGCTGAAACGAGAGGAGTATGGAAGGAGTGATTAGACTTAGCAGGCTTATTTTTCCCGAAGCACATTGCGCATTGATCGTGTGGGTGGAGTCACTCGAACGCCACCCCCCCCCCCGCCTCCCAAGTAATGGTAATGTATGCTCCTGTCCGCCGTCCTAAAGGCAGACTGTACACTCACCTTCCGTGGACTGCACTTGCCATGTGCGAGGTGAATGGGCTGCAGCTACAGAACAGAGACATACTGTCCCCGCTCAAAAGTGCATGGGAACGGGCTGGAGGATAGTGACACCCGTTGCCAACTCCCTACTTCGCCCCGCCCCCGCTATCCTCAACGTGCAGCACTTGCGTCTGTACCAGATAATCCTCAACGAATGCAAGCAACTTGGTATCTAACCAAGGATCCGCAGAGCGGAGCACAGCACGCAGGGGACTACGCAGAGCGAACCAGAAAGTGAGGAGGCGCACGACGCAACGTTTGGCTATTGCTAGGGAGTGCGGCTACTTCGTACGCAAGGCAGAGAGGTAAGAGAAAGGCACCCGAGTGATCACGCACAGCCAGCTCGGTTCCGTGCCACTTGTGAGCGAAAGAAAGTGGAAGTAGCTGCAGCTTCCGACCTAGTTACCTGACACTAGGTTTTGGGAGGATCATCCCGGCGGAGGTAATGCACATTTGTCGATTACGGAGACTGCGCATCGATGATGTAGTGGCCTTTTAGTGTGACTCTGGCTACAAAATAGGTGCGAAATGCTTCTTAACCTTTGTTTGACGTGAATTCGCCCGGTCTTTCGCACGAGTTGCCATGCACCAGAAACATTCTCTGTGAAGCCGAGCATATTTGTAGTCTAGAAGTGTGATGTTTCCTTCACGATTTTCTAGAGCGCGATTGAATCGGGGCTTACCTTAGATCTAATGAACTCGGTGAAATCGGAAGCCACTATGCCGCCACAAAATTGGGCATTTTACAGTATTCGACTGCCTGTCGGTATTCGATCCACACCAAATTCCTGCAATCTGAGTAGTAGGGTGGTAACATTGGTTGATCAGGTGCAGCAGTTCACATACGTGGACTATAGTCTCGTTAGCCGCAAATGAAGGGGTGTTCCGGTGGGGATGGGTTGGCGCGGCGACCAAACTCTCTTTGTTATTAGTTGACGCATGTGAGCGCAGCATCGGTGGAAAATGACGATTACTATATGACTCAAATAGTTACTCTACACTCTCGTTTCAACGATTTATGAGAAAACGCATTTGGTGCGCGCCAAACTCACACGTCTTAGCAGCGGTGCCTTGTATCCACGACGAGAGATGAAGCCGTGGAGGGTTTTGGCACTGGGATGCGCACATGCGACTATCCTAGTGATGCCGCAACAATTTTATTGCTGAAATCAATAAGCCATACTTTTACATGCTTTTTTAAATGAAGCTAGCACTAAGGGCTAGAGTTGCAAACCACTGTTTTGCAGCATTACGCCGAGAGCAGGTGAAGGGATGTTCCGCCCGCAGTTAAGCTCTCTATTGACATTGATATGGTTGGATGCGACTTGGCAATAAGAGAGCACCCCACAAGGTTGATCCACGCCATCATAGCGACCGGATCGCGATGTATGAACGCACTTTAGGAACACTCTCCCCATTCTCACTCCATATTTTGGATGCTTTTCGCGCGTAGTAGCTCCAGGCCAGGAAAGAAAACAGACAGAATAGAAAAGCGTTTGCAGCGTTTGATCAGGAACGAGTCCCTTTAACCCATTCCAAACTATAAGGTGCAGAGTGGACACTTCCAAGCCACATCGCACTCAACTCTTACCAAACTGCATTAAACGTTTTCGCCGTACACCATGTATGTATAAGCGATAATGGATGTTACCATTCGTGGTTGACAAATCATTTAACTTGACATAACTAGATTTTTAGGGAAAAAAAAACTTTATCCTGAGGTCATCTGCATCGAAGCAGAATAATTTAAACAAACCTTTCTTGAGCTCTGGTGCGATATCGTTCACTATGTCGACGAATATCAATCCTACAATATCCTTGGGGTCACCAAGTCTCTGAAATGAGCATTTTTCACTTCTCGGCAATGCTTAACCACATTATTATTTCCTTATCAGAGTTGTAATTCCAATGGTGCGATATTAATCCAGAAATATCCAAAATGGTCTGCGATATAATCCAGATAGCGATGTTGTCGTCGCTGGTTTACTAATCGCTTTCTTTCATCCAGGGAAACGCCTATCAGAGAAAAAAACGAAAACATCGTGTGAAACTGAATTTGTCAATAGAAAGTAACCTTTCAATTTCTGTGAGGGGGACGACTAGGGAGAATGGCGTCAGAACTCAGGGCCACACTTCTGTGGGCCGCTGTGCCTTCGTTGTTTACTGTGAAGTTGCGAAATGGCATGGTCATCGAGACTGAGGACCACATTACGTGTACCGAGGAACTTAACAAATGGTGCAGGGAACTGTCTTTATCAGACATATCTACCCTATGTGCTGCCAAGTAGTTGTTTTCACTGCCTTTGCAATCACGTGAGTGAACGGATCAAACTCCACTTTGATCGTTGGTGTGGAAACATGCGTCGCTCTCTCGCCTACTCCTGATGAAGGCTGAACATGCTCCAAGAGCGAGAATTATCCGGGTGAGGCTCTTTTATTATTAGATATAATCCCCAATGAGTTTCAGTAAAGACGAGATCCATTGCTTTCTTGGTATGAGAGTAGCTTTTCGATTATTGATATAACCGCTGGCTGCGCGCGCATTTACTGTGCGCCATGGTTAAAACGATTGTTACCGGTACACTGGCAGGATCTTGTTTCTGCGCTGAGCAATAACACTGAGCCTAATTCCTATGTTTCCAAAACGGCCCATTTCATCATGTTTCTCCCTTTTAATGAACACTTGCCAATGTTAGGCTCATATCATATTTCTAAAATCACCATTCGTTGGAAATCGGACAGCATAGCGGGTTGAAAGGATTCCGATGGTAAAAAATATATCGAAATCATAGTTGGCTCTTACTTCGCTCACTTGCCAACAACTCCAAACATCCTTGTTTTCGGGGAACTCGAGCGTTTAGCGGTGACAGCAAGTCCGAACGTTAAACTGAGGGATTTTGCTAAGGGAAAACATCTTGACTCACTGAGCCTTCGCCCATTGATTCTTTGGCTACGGTGATGTGAGCAGATACGGACACCCAAAAGCCCTCGTCGGACACTGTCAGAATTTATCTCCCACCTTTAATGTTCCCTAAGTACCTCTGAATTACTTGCTGGAGCAGTTCCCAGTGTTGCTACAGCTCTGCTGTGAAATAAGTTTTTTTGGCTATATTATCAGCCTAGTTGTCAGTTCTATGCCGCCCGCCAATAGAAGTTTCTTCCCGACTGCTGTCTTACTTCTTTGGAAACAACTGTCCGTTCGTTGCTCGTAACCAGCGACCAATAGTGTTCAACTCCGCCCCTATCAACTTCTATAGAAGCCAGGTGTCGCGTCGTTGCGTGTGGGCGTGCTATGAATGTTGTGACCCTCGCTTTTTTAGACCCCTTATGGTATCATTTACAGACTGTTATCAGTTCCTAGCCTATTGATCAACACGAGATAATGTTCCCATGCTGCCCCTATCTTACTTCTTGGAATCAAAGTCCTAGTGTTGCTGTGACGCGGGTTATGGAGTTGGTGACCCTCGCTTTCTAAGGCCCCCTATGGTATCTTATCAGCTCTTATCACTTCCTGCCGCTCACCAATAGTGATCCTGCCCGACCTCCTACATCACTCATAAGTTTGAACTTCTTGCGATGAAATCAAAGGGAGTTACGAATTCCGGTTTTTTTAGCGGATTATATATAGTAGGATGGATGGAGCCGCTAGGCTGGTGGGAGAGTGAAGAAAATTAGCAGTTTCTATCATCTAAACATGAAGACAAATGAAAAAGATTTCTTCAAAGAGGGAATCTCATCAGACTTAAATAAGACCCCTTCGCACTGAAGTTGGCCTTGTAGAACCGATAAGCGTTTCTGTAGAAAATGGCTCAGATGCTTGAGAATGAAGGAGACTGTAAGAGCAAGATCTGTCCGCTAGGGTGGGTGGCTGAGAAATAAATAGCGTGGAACTATATCTTTCCGAGTTTTTGCAAAAAAAGCGCGTCCCTTATCCTATACATATTCTTCTGAACACTGGGTATTTATAGAAAGTGGGAATTGATTAACTGAAGGTTGACTGATTAGACGGGTAATGATCGATAGCTCAAAATGTAGTATTAGAGACGTAGAATGACTTTCAGAATAAGACTGCTCGAATTGCCTCTCTTCTGATTAAGAGGTACAAGACGCACCCGTGTGTTCGCCCAGGGCACGTCCTTGGAAAAAATTTCGCAAAATATTGCTTCCCTCGAAGTTACCTCCTCTAGTACGATCTTTTTTCCATCTCACACACTACTGTCTTGGCAGGAGGAGGGGAGGAATTATATCCCCCTCACTGGGGCGCTGTGGATCCCCAACGTAAATATTTCACAAATAAATAGTTTCGAATCGTTGGTATGTTCTCATGGAATGTTTTGCTTGAAAATTTGAGTTAAAATGTAAAAAAATTGGCGGACGAGGGTGAGCATGCAAGAAAGTCAAAACTTGTCCTTCGAGGTACTCTGGATTGCAAATGAAGTAGAAGACTTGAGCTTTCCACTCACCTGAAACGTCTCCCTCAATAAAACTCTTTCCTTCTTCGTGAATGCCGTCTCGAACGGATTTTCTGCTTCATTGCCGACCCAAGACGAACCAACTTGCTGCAATAAGGTATGAGTAATCTGAATACAGCTAACATATCCATTTCTGTGAGCACTGCAACGGAACGTACCACCTTCTTGCGTCGAGGTCCACACAATGCTGATCCCATTAGACGGGAAACATCACTTCCGTGAAAGGTCCAAAGAAGGCTGTGGCTTTTGATACTCTATTGCAACTGTTGGCTTGAAGGGCTAGACAAACTTCTGAAAATCTCATGGTATTCTTCTGTGGCAGAAAATTAGGCCCATTTCCCTCGTGTGAGAAGGACAATATCGAGAATTTCTGCGGACATACTGGAAAATGATAAGAGAAATGTGGTAGTAATGGAATGGTACCAATTTTATTTTGGGTAACCAGCGTGAAGCGGTTGAACGAGTTGATGTTTGGCTCTGATCCTTAGCTGCGACATAAGTAATGTCTAGGGGGAGGGGGAGGGAGGGGGGTGTTGGGGTTACAGAAAAAAGGCACTTTGCTCGTTTAGCGCAACATGTGGCGCAGAATGAGGAGATGTATGAAAGAACAGGGGTAAAATTTTTTTGAATATTTTCCTCTATAAGCAAGAAGGAAGAATTCACTCCAGGTTCAGCGGTCACGATAAGGTCATACCATCCGTCATCTCGTCGAGCTCAAGATGGCCTATAGTAATCGCGTCAGCTAGAAGCGGTCCACAGATATCATAGTGAGCTCAGTCCCTGTTTTGGGTCAAGTACTTTTATTGCCTTCCCCCCTGTTCAGCATCCACTAAGTATCACGATATCACGAAAGCCTGAGTGCGAGCTTGGGCAGCAAAATGATCCCTTAGGATTGCCACTCGCTTCTTTCATGATACACATTGACGAATTTGGAACAGAAAAGCATGGTAGCATTTGGGACAAGTGCGCCTCCCAATCGTGCAATGCTGATATATGACTATGGTCCCGCAGGCTGATCACCATTCAAACATGAGTTACAGAAATTTCGTTCCAACTACCTTGCGTTTCTCCAAATACTATGGCCTTCACTATAAAACTAATTTTTCAAAGTCAGTATATAGGGGGTCAGAACACCATAATGTCTGCTCATGAACACCTCTATTGCGTTTTCTATGCTCATCGTAGACTCCTAGCTGATTGCGGACTACCCATGAATGACCCAGGAATGTAATTGATGTGCAATTCATCATAACCGTTTCCCTGCGTTTCGCCCTCAGCTGTAAACTAATAGTATTTTCGCAAGTATCATGTCGTTCATGTCGTTGGCCATGGCATCTTACTCATTTCATCGCATTTACTCACATAAGGTGGTTTCTCCAGACAAATTATCCGTCAAAAAATGTGTGTCCCTGAAAGGAGGAGTAGCAGCTCGACGAGCAAAACACGATGCAAGTGCGGATGACAATTCGCTTCTCACAAGAAGGCATTACACGGAAGCCTGAAGATGGAGAGAAGAGGAGTACTTATAATGTGAGTATGAATAGACTCAAAGGCAAGTGGAACGATAAATCCCCAAGACGTGTAGGACTAATACGCCTAGCAAGACAGAGTTCGGCCCTCCCAAAGAGGCGCTACGTGGCTCCCCTTCCAGGAAGGTACACTTATAGCGCCCTAGCTGCAAAATACCGACTCAGACACCCACAGCACCTGCCCGCCCACAGAAGTCCACCGATGCTGATGCTCGTATTGCTTCACATGCGAAGGACAATATGAAGCGACAGGAGAGATGGTATGAAGCGGCTGATGCTGCATAGATGCACTCTAGTTCGCTGCGGACGGTTGGGCGTGTCAGGCAGTATGAGTGTGTCACCCCGTCAAAGCCGTTCTCTGCCTTCTTGTTGAAGCGCGCATGCGACAAAAAGTGGTAGAAAACGAGTAATACGAACGATATGATACAGTCATATCATTTGCTCGCTTTAACAACGGTTGGGTTTGGGTTTGGCACCGCGCCAAACTCATCCCGCCTGACACGCCCAACCGTCCGCAGCGAACTACACTATATATGGGTACATACATGCAGCCTACCGTAGCGGTTATTGACTCAATGCCGACGGGAAACTTGTCCGAAGTTGCTTTCTGAGTCGTGTATAAGAATGGCTTTCTTTGCAGGTTTTTAAACGTTTCACTTTTTTTCGCCATTTTCTCACTATATAACACCCAGCACTAACATTGTAGATCGAGCAACATATTACCGTTCTTATGCCTTTACCTCAGTTACATAGGTAAGAATGAGAGTCATCTTTACCAACAACTTGCTAGGTTTTCGTGGAACAGCAGAACCAGGCGAATATCATAGACAGTGAGATGTTTGTTAGAAGTAGGGATCAAAAGAG